GTTACAGAAACTACTTATTAGACACTGTAATTTTTTTTTCTTATTGCTAAAATTTTTACTTAGTGGCTTCATAAGAAAATACTTCAGCTCTAGCCAGTTTGGTTCAGTGGCTAGAGCATCAGCCTGTGTACTGAAGGTTCCCGGGTTCTATTTCGGCCAGGGGCACGTACCTCGGTTGTAGGCTCGATTCCAGGCCCCAGTCCAGAGGTAATCAATCGTTATGTCTCCCTCACATCAGTCTCTCTCTCTCTCTCTCTCTCTCCCTCTCTCTCTCTCTCTCTCTCTCACCCCCTCCACTCTCTCTGAAAAGCAATGGAAAAAATATCCTTGGGTGAGGATTAAAAGAAAATATTTCACCATTTATTCAAGTTTTATAATATGCAGTGAATTTTGCAATTATTAACTTATAAATACTAACAAATTTGAGTCCACTTACCAGTAGAAGTTTATAAATCTATGTATGATATTGTGCCCAGAATGACAAACACTTTGAACTGCTTTTTTTTAAACACTGTATTTTAAAATCATGTTAGCACATGATATTGCGGTCAAAGAGGGTATGTTTATAAAATACCGGAACTATAAATTCTGTAAAGTCTTCTACTAAAACTGAAAGCTTCTAAAATTCCTGAATAAATATAGCAACAACATAAAAGCAATTCTGACCATGACCAGCAGATAAATAGACATTAATCAGATCATGTAAAAAAAAGACCAAAGACTTTTGATTAAACAAATAGAGGAATACCTGTTCACTAGAGAAATATCCGTGCACATATTCAATTGCTTTTAATTTGTACTCTGTCAAAACAGCCTAAAAAAACAGAAAAACGGCATTAATATATATAAACAGAACAGTAATATGCATACAGCAAAAATGCCTAAGCCACTCAAACAGGGAAAGATCTTCAGCCCAGCATGTAGAGACAGCTATAAGTCACTGTGGTGACATGACATTCTACCTTTCCAGGTTCCATGCTGAAAGGAATACACTGAGACAGTAGGCAAACCTTCTGAGCCTCCCTACTCACTCCTACAAAAAAGAACTGTAAGAGATAGGATTTGACATTAATAGAAATTAAATATAGAATTTATGTATATGTAATTAGTTTCAAAACATCCCAAATTTAAAGAAGTTGTCATTTTTAATAAGATTAAATGTATCAGATATTACCCATCTATCAATTATTTATTCAGCACCTATTATGTTAAGACTATCAATATTTCTACAGGGATATGAGAACCCAAGGAGCTGGAAGGCTCTGAATTCAATCTATGCACCTGCCACAAACTGGCAGTGTGGCCTTGGAGAAGAATTTTAATTACCCTGAGGGCCTTCTTACCCATAAAATGAAACACCATTCACTACCCACATCAGAGTTATGATTAAAATAGTCAATAGCAACCCTGGCCGATTTGGTTCAGTGGTTGGAGTGTCTGGTTCAATTCCCAGTCAAGGGCATGTGCCTCAGTTGCAGGCTTGATCTCAGGCTCAGTCCGGGTGCCTGCAGGAGGCAACCAATCGATGTGTCTCTCTCACATCAATGTTTCTCTCTCTCTCTTCTTCTCCACTCTCTCTAAAAATGTCAATGGAAAAAATATCCTCTGGTGAGGATTTTAAAAACAACAAACAAACAAAAATAGTCAATAGTAGATCTGACATAAAATAGGCATTTAGTAAATGATGGTTCCTTTCCTCACCTGACATCTATAATGGGAAAGTCAGAGAAAATTCTGATGGCCTTGATCAGCATTTTCTAGAGCTGACAAATCAGCTATGTTCTCATTTTTAGTGTTTACAGATGGAAACACCAGACTACCATAATTTGGTAACTACTAGTCATTAAAAATCAACTAATCCTTGCTTTTACTGTAAAACAACAGAATTTGTACTTTCCATGTACCTTTCTGCTAGAAGAAAATACTATGGCCAGTCAAACTAAGAAAAACATCCTGGGTCTAATTTTCAATGAAAGAGGGAGGGAGGGAAATGGCATTCTGGATAATGCACTCTAGGGAGTTTATCATTATCATAATTGAACACAGTCAAAAGCAAGTTTCTGGACAAAATCCTGGATTGTGTTGATGCCAAGACATGCCTCAATTTTTTCATTAGTGCCTGAGAGACCTGGCTGTATCCCCAGGCACAACATGGCACTCGAGTCAAACTGCCTTAGTTTCAATACTGAACCATACCACCCTTCTACCCTTCCCCCTTACCACCTGGATAACTGAGCTAACTAGTTAAACTCACAGAGACTAGGTTTGCCATCTGTAAAATGAAGAATATAGTACCTACACCTCATGGGTTGTTAGCAGTATCACATCAAATAGTGCACACAGTGCATGGAGAAAGTGCTTAGAACAGGCATACATAGTAAGGACTCAATAATTATGGCTATTATTCTTACCTCCTTTTTGAAGAGCAAATTCAACATTGCATTTTCCCCTACTATTCCTCCTTCCTAATGTCTTCCAATATGCCTGTCTCTTTAAATGACAACCAGTATTACCTATAGACCTAAGGTGACACTCAGGAAGAGATTGCCTGGTTTAAACTGACTTACATTTACAAAGTCTGAGAGTAATTTTAAAAAACCAATAGTAATTCTCATATTTAGATATACCTATAGTTTTATCCCATTTTAATAGACTAAGATACTACTGATGCATCTAATTATTTGGCATAGACAGCAAAAGACATTTTTATTGCAAACCAGAAATGACTTAAGTTGCTCTCTTGTGTGAACCTGATTTTCATCTCCGAAAAACTTCCTATTCCCCTCATTGATATTTACTATGTGATCTTTTCACAACTTAGAAGGGAGAGACTATGCAAAGTGACACCTTATAGCTTCCAACAGTAGAAATATACTGGTCTACCTGAATGCAAATTATTTTCTCATAAACAATAGTTAAATATCAGCTCACTAACAAATTGTAGCAAATTCTAAATATAGAGTTAGCAAACTGACATTTTATTGCAAATCTTAACTGAACAAATAGGATTTGCAAAAGTAGAAATTTTTTTCAAAACAGAACATTCAATATGGTAAATTTCACATCACATGCAAATCTAAAAAAGAAATATGCTTTATAAAGAATGACGAAAAACAACATTTTGCTTGATAGAGAATAAAGAAAAACCGCATACCCACAGGCAATTTAATTAATAATTTCATAAGCTGAAACAAATAATAAGCACCAGAGCACAAGGTAACAAACCTTTCCAAGTCAGTCAAGGGTCTTAAAGGTTTGGAAATATGGAGATAACTGCCCAGAAGTTCTAAGCAAAGACCCTCTATTAGCATAAGAATGTTACAGTAAGTCCCTCTAGTTCTACTTAGGCAAAGGCTAATTTGGGGCCTTGAGGTAGTCACTCTCAAGGCTACATTCCAAAATTTTTTGCCGTCCAATTCATTCTGAGAGATAGGCTACATACAATGGCCTCCAAAAGAAGCAAAAACTTGGAAAGTGGGAGAAAAAAGTTTTGGAATTAAAGTTACTGCAGCCCATTCCTAAGAGTATGGCTTTAAACTTAGTAACACACTTTTCATTAAGGCACACATTTTATCCGGCCCAGGCAATATAGTGTGCCAATTCTCAGATTTGAAAAAACAGTCACAACAACTACCATTAAAGAAACGTCCTACATATTAGCTCTAGTTTTCAATATCTTATGTTACTGAAAGATGAGGAAATCGGTTTAGAAATAGTATCACTTATTCAAAAGCAAAGAGCTATTAATTTTTATTTGTATCGTGAAATTCCAACCAATTTTGCAATCCTAAAACCCATATTTTGCACAAACTGCACAGTACCTCAAAGAGAATAAACCATGAGAATTCGTAGCTTATAAAATTATTTAAGGAATTAAATGTAATTACCTTTCTAATTTCATCCAGCACCATTTCAAAGGACTTTTTGTCCATCTTGACTACTCTCTCGACGTGGTTTTAACAGCTATTCTTTCAACTACAAAACGTTTGTTCCTGGTCAGCTCTGAGGTAAAAATGTTTATAGCTGAGGAGCAAAAATATGTCAGGAGCAGGAGAAAAGAGGTAGACTACTTAAAAATCTGAAAAAATTCCTAAAAATGGAGACTTACAAAGACATTAAAAAAAAAAAGCAATAAAAAGAGCAGGCTTTCCCAGATTTTTACACAAAGCTTCAGGACACTGAGGAAGAACCGGGTCCTTTCTGAGTAACGCGGGTTTCTGCAGCCAAGCTGAGCGTCGGTCCCCTGCAGCTGAAGGCCAGGCACCGCAGGGTGATGGCCGTGAAGCCGCTTTCCCGGGTGAAGCGGCAAGGAGGGAAGAGGCACCTGAGCCGAGTCCCGCGGGCGGCCAGGATAAAGGTACTGGCCTCTCCGCCCGCACAAACGCTGCAGCCGCCGGCCCTCACCGCAGCGAGCCTGGACTCATGGCCCAGCTCGCGCTCATGCCCAGCAGCTCCGCCGGAAACTTGGGTTCCTGCAGCCCCGGCAGAGGCAGCCTGGCAGGCTCTTTGTTACCAACAGCCACAGCTTCTGGGAGCGGGCCGGCGGCCGGAGAGCACCGTGAGCCCAGCGAGGGTGGGCAAGATCTCGGGTAGGGCGGCTCCGGAACGCCGCAGTAACAACGGCTAGGCGCCCTTCCCGGTTACCCCTACAGTTCCCACCAGCTCAAGTGGGCCTTCAGCGAAGCCCGTCACGCCCGAGTAAACTCAACGCTGCACCGCTAGTTTAGGCCACACTTTCCTGAAAGCTAATGGAGGGGTCCTTGTGTGGGAACATAGGTAGCCATGAGGTGTGCCTGAACAGCTGGGAATCAGATGCCGATGAAACCCACCGCACAACCTGGAAGCCATTTTTTGAGGGTCACATCCCCGTATCTTGAGTTTGTATGCTAGCTTCTGATTGGTCAATCGTAATTTCAAAAATGTAAACGTCGAGTCGTTCTGGCATAACTATGGGCACCCTTATCTTATACGAAAGAAGTCTTCGGCGTAGGACCGCTTTCCGGGAGGGGAGGGGTAGAGTTGGTCACTGGGTCAGCCCGAGGGCACGTGACAAGGTGGGGGACGCTGGAACGGTCTGGGAACCCCCCACCCAGTACTAATATTCTTTCGCCCAGCTCTGCGCTCCCTTCCGTCTCTCAAACCCCACGCAGCCAAAGAAGGGCGATTGGAGATAGGAGCTTAAGCAGTCGCTGTGTGCTGCCAGGAACCCTGTGGATCTGAGGCTGTTTGGCAGCCTCCTAGCGCCTGCAGAAGCTCCTGGTCGCGTTTCCGGTTTCTTCATGGCGAGAATCTGGCTCTGTGCGGGTGGCGCTGGCTTCTTCCTTGCACTTCTGGTTTTACATTCGCATTTTTCTGGCTCTCCGGTGAGTGGCATAGTAAGGAAATGGCTACTTGAGGTGTGGATAGCTCTTCTGAGAGGCGATGCTTCCCTCTGGAATGGAGGTGGTGCACTAGCTTG